AAGACATTTTCGTCACTAGAAGTCCAATGCACTACACATTACACCACAGAGCCACTGGAGATACGTTTTTAAATAAGCAAAATCTGAGAGAATTCACTGCTGAAAGATCTGCACAAATGAAATCCTAAAGGATGTTTTCAGGCTGAAAGAAAGTTTTCTAGTTGAAAACTCCGATCAGTAGAAAGTAGTCAACACCAGATATGGTAAATAATAAGATATTCTTCTCATTTTCCTTAAAGGGTGAATTGTTTAGAAGCGAGGTCCATGGGCCAAATTCAGCTCCCTGACTACTTCTGTAAATTAAGTTTTATTGGAACATAGCCACATCCATTTGTTTACATATCTCTGAATGCTTTTGCTCTAGAAGAGATCATTGAACGATGTGATACTGTATAGCCAGCAAAGCTGAAAATATTTACTATCTCACCCTTTATTGCCTTAGTACAAAATAAATAACACTGTAAGGTGGGCTTATAACAATAAAAAACTAAAAAGTGGGACAATAATAGCTCAAAAGACAAGGTGTGGCCCTAAAAGGAATTATATGGCCCTTAGGTTATTACATTTTTGGAAGTGTGATGTAGAATGTGTGAATTACAAGTGTGAAGTAGGAAAGGTAAGGTGTCATGTGTGAAATGAATAGTGTAAAACGGTACAATATCAATTCTAAGTCAACCTTGATGAATTAAAAGATGTCACACTGTGAGCTCTATAGCTACCACTAAAATAATAACAATAAAATCAACAACAATAATAAAAACAAGACATACCATTCAACCCAGCACAGTCTGTCCTTGAGGCACCAAAATTCACAACCATTCCATGTGCAAAATGCACTTTTCCTTTAAGACTGAGAATGAGACAAAATGTTCACTCCCATACTCTACATCATACTAGAGGGCCTCACAGTGCAATAAGACATGGAAAATAATAGGCTTAAATATCAGAAAAGAATATTGTTATTTGCAGACAACAGGATTCTGTATAAAGAAAACCCAAGAAAGCCTACAGAAACTACAAAATTTATGAGTGAATCTACCAAATTCACAAGATAAAATGTCGGGGTGGCTGGGTGGCTTAGTTGGTCAGGCATCTGACTCTTGGTTTCAGCTCAGGTCATGATTTCACGGTTCATGAGTTCAAGCCCTGCATTGGGCTCTGTGCTGACAGCTCAGAGCCTGAAGCCTGCTTCAGATTCTGTGTCTCCCTCTTTCTCTGCCCTTCCCCCGCTTGCTCTCTCTCTCTCTCTCCCTCAAAAATAAATAAATAAATAAATAAATAAATAAATAAATAAAAACATTTTTTAAAAAGCCCTGTGGGTCCACACCTTGATTTCAGTCTTATGGAATTCAGGGCAGAGAAATTAGCCAAGCCAATCCTAACCTCTGTGGGATAATACATTTGCATTATAAAAGTTTGTGAGAATTTTTTGGGCAAGAGAAAACTAACACGTTATTGATAATGGAAGCATTAGAAAGTATTTGTAATTTGGGGCACCTGGCTGGCTCAGTCAGTAGAGTGTGAGACTCTTGATCCTGGGGTTGAGTCTGAGCCCCACTTTGAGCATGGAGACTACTTAAAAATAAAATCTTGGGGCGCCTGGGTGGCGCAGTCGGTTAAGCGTCCGACTTCAGCCAGGTCACGATCTCGCGGTCCGTGAGTTCGAGCCCCGCGTCAGGCTCTGGGCTGATGGCTTGGAGCCTGGAGCCTGTTTCCGATTCTGTGTCTCCCTCTCTCTCTGCCCCTCCCCCGTTCATGCTCCGTCTCTCACTGTCTCAAAAATAAAAATAAAAAACGTTGAAAAAAAAAATTTAAAAAAAAAAATCTTAAAAAGTATTTGTAATTCAACTTACATACATCATACATTCTTACATATCTATTCACCAGTATTCCTTTAAGTGAACTCTATGGTCTACATTTCCCTATTCTACCTTTGTCCTAATCTTAATGTTATGGCTTATTTTTCCTTAAATTCTGAATTTAGGAAAGCGTGTGTTTCCATTTGATAATTATTTTTACATGCCTCTGCAAACCCATGAGAATGAAGGCAAAACACAGAAACAAACAAAAACCCACCAGGACCTTCAAGTTTTCTTCTGTTCTTAGGAAATGGCCAGCATTTTTAGTCAATTGTCTTTTCTGGTTCTGAACATCTGACAAGAGAGCGCTGACCAAGGATAAAGGAGCCATTTTTTAAAAATGTTTATTTATTTTTGAGAGGGAGAGATACAGAGAGAGACAGAGCGCGAGCAGGGGAAGAATAGAGAGAGACACACACATAGAGTTTGAAGCAGGCTCCAGGCTGTCAGCACAGAGCCCGACGCAGGGCTCAAACCCACAAACCACGAGGTCATGACCTGAGCCGAAGTCGGCCGCTTAACAGACTGAACCACCCAGGCGCCCCTAAAGGAGACATTTCAATGAGAGGCTAGCTTTTAGGGTTTTGACAATTACTCAACTCCCCTCTTTTCACGAAGGATGAACCCTCAAAAGCACAAAGCTAAGGTTAGGAAGACAGCCTCAGACAGGGGACTAATCAGCCCACACACCAACTAGGAATCTCTAGTCTTCTACCTTCACCCCTAAAACAAACCTACAAACACAGAAAAGGGCAAACCTGGAGTAAATCCTCCCCTGTACCAAACCAGCACCAGACAACTTGTTGTGGGGTAGCCGATTCTGGACTTCTCCTCTGAGGTCTGGCAGGTTCTAAAATCTAGAGACTGAAGCTCTAGGCTGGAAATCAAGACAAAGTAGGTAGAATCTATAAATGTGTACAGATTGTTGTATGTTCTAAAGTGTGTAAATCAAATTTCTTTCTGCCTAAATCATCTCATTCATAAGAATACTATTTGCAAGTTGCTTGCTTAGTCCTCAAGGCACTGCATGGCAGACACTGTACTAGAAGTTTTTTGTTCGTGGTGACACAGCGGGTAAGAGGAGGCCAGGACAAGACACCCCACAGAACACAAAGACACTCCAAGTTTTTCTGGGGACCAGGAGGGGAAGGGGTGGGATAGAAGGTATAGTAAGGTTCAGTAGGACCCACAATCAAATTCCCCTCCCAAGCTCCCAACACGGGGTCCATCTAGTCACCTAGAACCCGGAGGAACAAGGGCGAATGCCTCCCACACAACAAAGGAGCTGTCTAGTGCCATCTCTTACCCCAGCCATACAGCAGGACAGACCTACCAAGATCTGACCTTGCCCAAGCTGAGCCACAGGATGAGTTTGGAACTGACCCATGGAAAGCCAGTTCCCTCACATGCTGCATACAGAAGCCCCAGCGGTCTTTGATAAGGTTCTGACAGGCACCCTCTTCAACAACCGCTTGGACCCAGGCCAGATTCTCATGTGAAGAAAAACAGACAAAGGCAGACGAACTACATGTGCCAGAACCCCCGTGGCAGCCAAACAGCCAAGAAGCACCAGCCCGTAACTAGGAAGACCATGCACCCCAAACCACACTTTCCAGAAACCTGTGGCCGTGCACAGGTGCCTCAGTTCCCACAAAAACCAAAGACGGACTAGACGGAGACCAAACTACACTCCCCAACTTCAGCTGGGTCTGGGTCTCCTCACAGGACCTGGTCCTCACTGATGGAAATGATCTTCTGGCCTCTTCCTGGGAGGCTGAACAACCTGGGGTTAGGGGCTCCAGTGACTAGACTGGGCCTCATCTATCCCTTTGCTCCCGTGGAGAGAAACCCCAGGAAATTATAATTCTTATAATCCACTTGACACCACCTTCTTGAGCATACAGAACACTTACAATGGCTGTTTTTAACATCATTTTCTGTTAATTCTGTCACCCATGCCAATTCTGGGTCTCTATTGACTTTTCTTCACGTTTACAGGTCCTGTTTTCCTGTTTTTGTTTTTATTTGCATCCCTGGGTAGGTTTTGACTAGATGCCAGACACTGAGTTTGACATTGTTGGTCGATGGGATTCCTTTCTATTCTTTAAATACTACTGGGCTTTGGTCTGGGAAGGAGTTAAATTACTTGGAAACAGTTTGCGTTGGTAGCCGCTTGCCTTTCTACTTTGTCAGGAGGGTTCAGAGCAGCCTTTAGTCTAGAGCCAACATGAATCACCCAGTAGAGTCACTATTTTTCTGAAGTCCCACTGTGATTCTCCCGATGTTAGGAGGGGTTTCCATTCCAGCTGGTGGAAACACAAATTATTCCCCACATGTGCAACCTCCAAGGATGGTTCTGCCTGTTCATTTCCAGTGGTTCTTTCTCCAGCCCTGGGAGTTTCCGCACATATGTGCTGCTCACAACTGAAAATCATATGGGGGAACTCTCTCACCCTGGGTGCAGCTCTGTCCTCTCCTGTGATCTGCCCCATGAACTTGAGTCGCTTTGAATTCCCCGAACTCTAAACTGTCTCAGTTCACAGACTGCCAGGATCTGATTAGATTCCCTCTCCCTATGCTGCAGAATGGAAACTCTCTCCAGGCTATAAGCTGGGGGCAATCGTAAGGATTCCTTCATTTGTTTCCTTTCTCTGAGAGATAGCTGTCCTGATGTCCCTATTACCCTATGTCTGCAGTCCATTCCTGTATTTTTCTATTATTTTCCATTCTGTATTACAGTCCATTTCAGTCCATTTCTGTATTTTTCATTATTTAATGAGGGTATATACATTAAACATTTACTGTTAGAGAAAAAGGGCTGTTGGAATTGGCTGTGAAAAATTCTCACACTTAGGTGTGGTATGGAGTACCATACTCAGAACGGGATAATTTATACAATTTCAGAATAGATACAAACATACGTTTGGCAACATCTGCAGCACATAAATCTCATGTTCCTTTAAAACATTTAGTTCTTCTCCAGTGTATCACTTGATTTACATATTTCAAGAGCATTCCATGGTGATCACATCTAATGACACAAGTGTAAGATTCCTTGATTTCAGGGAAAAAAGTTACTGTATTTGGACCATGATAACTAAAGACAATTACTTCTCTGAGAACATGCTTCTCTACATTTATTTAATGGCTAGGTAGGAATTTACTGTAGTATGAATTCTCTGAAATGTAATGTTTTTGTGGTGGACAAAATGATCTCCCAAAGACATTCATGTCCTAATCCCCAGAACCTGTAAATACGTTACGCTACAGGGCACAGGGCATTTGAAGTAAAAGATGCAATTGGGTATTTTAGGGCCATGTGACTCATTTCTCGAGTTTCACGGGCTCACAGTCAAGAGAGGAATTGTGCCTCAGGACAATCTGTAGGCAGAGCCTCACCCAATGCTTGATTTAGAGCTTCTGAGCTGATAAGATGTGGGTGGGATTTTTGGACTTTGAGTTGGTGCTGTTAACAGTTTGTGACATTTGGAGGTGCTGGGATAGAGCGAATGTATCTTCCATGTGGTATGGACACAAATCACTGGGTGCCAGATGGTGGTCTGCAGTAGGCGGGGTAATGGCCCCCCCCAAAGATATCCACATCTTAATCTCCAGGACCTGTGAATATGTCAGAGAACAAGGCACGGGAGAATCAAGGTAGTTAGGTGGAGTTAAGGTTGCTAATTAGCTGATTTTAAATAGGAAGGTTATCCTGGATTATCTGGGTGGGCCCAATGTAGTCACACAGGTCCTTAAATGTGGGAGAGGGAGGCAGGAGGCAGTGCCAGAGTGATGGAGGAGTTGACTGGCCATTGCTGGCTTTGAGGTGGAAGGGGCCTGCAAGCCACGGATTTGGGCAGCTTCTAGAAACTGGAAGGACAAAGAGAACAGGTTCTCCCTGGAGCCTCCAGAAACAAATGCAGTCCTTTCAACCCCTTGCTCTGAGCCCAGTGAGATGCATTTCAGACTTCAGACCTCCAGAACTGTAAGATAATACATCTCTGTTATTTTAAGCCAACAAATTTATGGTAATTTGTTACAGCAGTGATAAGAAACTAATACACTTGTATCTCCACATTCATCATATTCATAGGTTTTTGCTACATAACGTAATTCCTGGTGCCCAAGATTTCATTTATTAGAGAAGTCTTTCCCAGATTCATTCCCAAGGTATAAAATTGTGACACATTAGTTAGTTTGGTGATAGAATTTCCATCTTTTATTGCATTCAGGGGTCTCTCTTTCCTATGAGTTCTTCTACATTTTACTAAAAATGCTGTCTGTATTCAGTGTCTCTAATATCTTTCTACACTTCTCTGGCATGTGATTAGGTACAACTTATCATTGAAAACATCATCACATTCTTTCCTCGTGTTCTGGTCCTGTGGGAATTCTTTGATAGCAATGGAGATACTCATCTCCAGGAAACGGGTTCCCCACAATAGCTGCATTTCTGTGGACTGGGCTTTCATGGATATTTAATAAGTCTGAATTCTCACAGACGTAGCCTCCACCACCGCTGCCTCCACAGCATTTCTGCCCAAAATGAGCTCTCACATAGAATGTGTGGAGGATTCTTGCTAAAGGCTTTTCTAGTATCAGATAGATCCTGGTACCAGAGGATTTTCTTTCTTACACAATGTCTGCAACATATAAAACATAATTTATTACAGAAGGTGTGGTCACATTCACTGCATTTGCAAGACATATTCCCTGTGCAAATTCCAGATTACTTACTGAGGCCTGACTTCTTAGAAAAGGCTGTTCCACAAACACTACATTTCTACCCCCAAGGAGCTCACTGAGGTTTAACAAGGGCTGAGTTCCCGAAGAAGGTATTTCCACAGGCACCGTGTTCATCTGGTTTTGCTCCTGGGCAAGTTTACTCACGTATAAAGAGCTATGACTCCCTGAGGAAGGTTTCTCCACTTTCAGTGAATTTATAGTTTTCTCTCTTGCATGAGTTTTCTTATGTTTCATGAGGACTGACATGTGGGCAAAGGCTTTGCCACATTCACTGCATGCATACGGCCTCTCTCCAGTATGAGTTCGCTGATGCTGAATGAGCTTTGACTTGCTCCTGAAGGCTTTTTCGCACTCACTGCATTCATAAGGTTTCTCTCCTGTATGAATTCTCTGATGCTTGGTCAGGTCTGACTTAAAAAAGAAAGTTCTTCCACATTCACTGCACTCGTAAGGCTTCTCTCCTGTGTGAAGTCTCTGATGTGCAATGAGGTATGCCTTCTGGGAAAAGGCCTTCCCACACACGCTGCATCCATAGAGTTTCTCTCCAGTGTGAGATCGCTGGTGTCTATTGAGCCGGCACTTCCTGCTGAAGGCTTTTCCACATTCACTGCATCCATAGGGTTTCTCTCCTGTGTGAGTTCTCTGATGTACCATAAGCTGTGACTTCCTAGAGAATGCTTTTCCACATTCATTACATTCATGGGGCTTCTCTCCAGTATGAATTCTCTGGTGTTCAGTGAGCTGAATCTTCCTCATGAATGTCTTCCCACATTCACTGCATCCATGGGGCTTTTCTCCCCTTTCAGTTCTCTGATGTCTAATGAGCTGTGCCTTCCTAGAGAAGACCTTACCGCACTCACTGCATTCATGTGGTTTCTCCTCTGCGTAAGTTTTTTGATGTTCACCGAGCTGTGATTTAGTGCATTTAATTCCAGTAAGAGTTGTATCCTGTTGGATGTAGACAGAGGATTTCCCATATCCACTAAACTCATCAGGATCTTCTCCTGCATATCTTCTATTCTGGAGAACAAAACCTAAATGTGATTTTAAACCTTTACAATGTGAACCAAATTTATTGTGTCTTTGTGTTAAAGGAACAAGACTTTTGCATAAATTGAAATTATTTCCAAGTGCATAATTTTGCTGACATCTTTCCAAAGTTTTAATCTCGTTTTGGTTTTCTGGGTGCCACTGCATATGGTCAATCTCCCATATTTCTTCTAGGAAAAAGAACAATGAAAACATCCATGATAATTTTAGGGGGAAAAGAAGGTTAAAAAAAAAAAAAAAAGCCATGGTTTGGGCTAGCTCTAAGATCGAAGTCTAAGAGAAATGTACCCTGTGCTCTGTGAGAAAAAGACAACACTATAAAACAGCAAAAGGAAAAACACGTACTTTAGAAACAACAATGGATAGTCTACAATGAATAAATATAACTTAGGCTTCTCTCCAAATAGGACCTTGCAAAATGGAGACAAGTAAAAACAGAACCACACTGTGACTGGAACAGAACAAAAGATGGAGGGGATGGATCCTTTCATCCAACAAACACTGAATGCGCTGGTGTTTGGGAATACATTAGAATATGATATTAGAACATTACCATACTATGTTTGAATATTACAATTACAATATATCGGTCACACTAAGGTAACTTACATATTCTGTCTCTGTGGAGCTGTCATTCTAGTAACCAGACAGAGAAAAAGATGGGGGGAAGGGAGGATCAACAAGTAACCAAAGAAATAAAAAAATTACAGAACGTGCAAAACAGTGTGTATGAAGAAGCTGACAGAGTAGTAGTAGGTTAGTGTTAGATAAAATCATCATCCATGAGACAAGGAAGTGAAGGTGACATCACAGGGTAAGAATGAGCGGTGTTATACAGATAACTCGATGAATAACATTCCAAAAAGGAACAACCAATGCAAAAAAACTCAGAAGCAGAAAAACTCAGGCATGATCAAGAAACATAAGAGAGGCTGGTGTACCTCGACTATATCCTTGGCTTGAGTGAAGTAGAAACAGGTAAGTTTGGAAAGGGAGGCAGAACTGAGACCATATAGATGATGTAGGGAGACTTTGTTAGAAACTGGATTTTCTATTGGGGTGCCTGGGTGGTGGCTCATTTGGTTAAGCATCCAACTCTTGATTTTGGCTCAGGTCGTGATCTCAAGGTTCATGGGTTCAAGACCCCGCATTGGGCTCTGCACTTGACAACACGCAGCCCGCCTGGAATTCTATCTCCCCCTCTCTCTGCCCCTCCCCTGCTTGCATGCACATGTGTGCTCTCTCTCTCTCACACAACAAATAAACATTAAAAAAAAAAGTTAAAAAAAACTGGACTTTATGATAAGAGCGATGGCCAGAAGCCACCAAACATTTCTGGCAGGAATACAACCCATTCTGAATTGGTATTTCCAAATGCCACATGGCTGTTGCATGAAGAATGAACTGGAGAGGTGAAAATATTGAGAGAATACACAAGAATCTACAGCAGAGTTCAGGCAAGAGGTAACAGCACCTTCTGGGGAACCTGGATGGTTCAGTAGGTTAAGCGTCCAACTCGATATTGGCTCAGGTCGTGATCTTACGGTTGTGAGACTGAGTCCTGTGCCGGGATCTGTGCTGAGTGTGGAGCCTGCTTGGGATTCTTTCTCTCCCTGACTCTCTCTGCCTCTCCCCCGCTCAAAAGAGGTAACAAACAGCAGCTTCAGTGTGACTGACTACAATGGAGTTAGAGAAATGTACAAAAACAAGGACATAGTACAGAGAAGGGAAAGAGTGACAGGAGGAAAAGAGAAGGCTCAGTCAAGAATGAGTGCTAGAAGAAGAAAAGGGAATCACTGAGGATAGCTCCTCGATATGTGGCTTAAGCATTTGTGTAGGGTGCTGGTGCCATTTAATACAATGAGGAAAATCAGGGAGTTAGGTTAGGTATGTGTGGGGAATCAAGCGTTCCGTTTTGAGGAATGCATCAGGTCTGAGATAAACATTCAAGAACAAATATGAAGCATCCGGTTAGATCTAGGAGTGTGGAGAAAGTTCCAGACTTCAGATAACAATTTTAAGTTGAGTATATAAACAGTACTTAAACATTTGGACTACACAGAACCAGATGAGGTAATGGACAGAGAAAGGGGAAGGCCCTGGACAAGAATTTCATGGATTCCAAGTCTTAAGAATTTTGGGAGAGTGATATGCAAAGAGAATATGAAAATCCCATCCAGAAACATCAAACAAATGCTGACCAAACATATAAACAATGGAGGTTTTCATAAGAAAGGGCTGAAATTGGAAAATCAGAATGCAGGATCTACGGAATCTTATTCCAAGATTATTGAGGCAAAATAGTCAATAATCCCTTGTTACTAAACCTTTCCCCTCTCATTCCACCTGCACATCAAAACTAAACTTTTATAATAACACCAATTACCTATCTAGAGTAGTACAGTAGCCAATACTTCAACTTTCTATGTAAAAACGATACAACCTCCCTCAGTCCAATATATCCAGACACATATATGTCCACCTGGAATTTAAAAATAGGTCCTTGGGCCATCCGCCCTTGCCCCAGAGAAGAGTATAGCTGTCCTAACTGGTGGAAACATCAGCTTCTCCTCAGTTTCATCATACTGCAACTGTGTACTGTGCTATTCAATAAAATCTTCTGCAACAATGGGAATGTTTTATACCTGTGTTTTCTAATATGGTACCCACTAGCTGTGTGTGGCTATTGGGCACCTGAATGTGGGTGACCAGAGTGACAGGAGAACTGAATTTGTAACTTTACGTAATGTTAAATAAATTTAAGTAGCCACATGTGACCAGTGGCCAACACAATGGATGGCACAGTATAGACCATCACATCCGTATATACCGTAATATCCATATTTGCCATTATAATCTACTTGATAGACTCATCTCCCAATTTTTTCCTTTCAACTAATGCTACATTCTTCCTTAATCTCTGTTCCTATCTCCTCTCTGGCACCAGTTAAGAGATTCTGAAGAATCATCCTCTATCCAGGAACAAAACATTGACCTGCCTTATCTTCCACTTATTCTAGAGCTCCAAGCTCTAACTTCTTATTGTTCCAATGCTACTACCCAGCTATCTATCAAGCAAGACTCTCTAGAAATAGCAAAAAAAAAAGCTCAGACAGAACCAAAGTCACACTTTCTAAGCCAATTATTAACATAAAATTCACAGTAATCAGCCATTTCCTTTCACATAGTCTCATCTCTCAATTGCCTTCCTCATTTCCATCTCCAAAATGTTTTTACTGACCCACAGGCCTTCCATCATCATTTTTATTTGAAACTCTAACATCTTTCTTGCAGAAATTATTTTATCATGCTTCCAAAAAGTACTTCATTCTTTCTGTAACACATTATCAAAGCTCAATTTTCTCTAACTTTACAAAAACAGTCCTTTCTATGCCTCATAATCAAATGCTAACAATTTTAGAATTTCAGGCATCTCTGTCAACCCTTCGCAACTGAGGACTTTGGACACTTGGAAGGTATTTCTGTCCTTCATTACATTTGAACCTTTTGGAGCTGTATTTGGGTGGCAGTTCTACTACAGGGATCAAAGCACAGCTGGCCTAGCGAGCATTTCCAACCTCATTTGCTCAGGACCCTCCCCATACCTAGTAGATCAGAAGATAAATCTTAAGAGACAAAGTCTGTGGTTTGAAAAACTTCCCACACAGTTTACACAGATCCCTGATTTAAAAACAAAACAAACAAAAAACCGAAGCAAGACCTGTTTTCAAGATGTGATGAACAGATGCACGTGAATGATTATGCAATCTGTACGCAGTAAGGAAGAGTGAGATAGAGACCCTTTCTCTGTATGGAAAAGGAAGCCTCATCCTAACCAGCGAAGCAATACAATAACACCTGTCGATCATGACTGAGTCAGTGCAGTTTAAATTTTTTTTTTTTTCAACGTTTATTTATTTTTGGGACAGAGAGAGACAGAGCATGAACGGGCGAGGGGCAGAGAGAGAGGGAGACACAGAATCGGAAACAGGCTCCAGGCTCTGAGCCATCAGCCCAGAGCCTGACGCGGGGCTCGAACTCACGGACCGTGAGATCGTGACCTGGTTGAAGTCGGACGCTTAACCGACTGGGCCACCCAGGCGCCCCGAGTCAGTGCAGTTTAGACAGAGTACAGAGACATTAGGGACGATGGGAGTTCCAAGTGTGCACTGGAACTTTGGGGAGATAAAAAGAAGGCAGTATCTGGACATAAAAATGCAACACAATCAAATGCATAGATGCCAGCCGTTAGTTCACTGGACATTGTGGTATCTGTGGCATTCAATAAACTATATCACTTCTGCCTCCCCGGAATAAGTTTGTGGCTTGTTTCTGGGACATCTTCTGACTCTCCTCCTCCCAGAGCCCTGATACTTCTCACTCTACCTGGCTGGGTTCTTATCTTCTCAACTTCTAAATATATGTGGGCCTTTTTTTTTTTTTTTTTTTTTTTTTTTTTTTTTTTTAACCAATTCTCACTTTCATGTTTTCTCATTAAGTTTCACAGCTTTAATGCCCCCTGCCCACAAAGGAATGCAGCCATACCATTAAAAGGGACTAACTGGGGGTGCCTGGGTGGCTCAGTCGGTTAAGTGTCTGACTCCTGATTTTGTCTCAGGTCATGATCTCACAGTCATGAGATCAAGCCACATGTCAGGCTCTGTGCTGGGTGTGGAGCCTGCTTACGATTCTCTCTCACCCTCTCCTTCTGCCCCCCTTTCCCCTTCATACTCTCTCTCTCAAAAGAAAAGAAAAAAAAGGGACAAACCAAAAACTGGAAACAGCCAGTGTGGGGGTGAGTGTAGCAACTCAGCAATCCAAGTCTAAATGATCACAGCCTACTCTGAGGTGGGAATTGAGCATGTGCATGCAATTTCCAAAGGCCTTTCCAAAACAACAAAAAGAGCTTTTTTAAAGATTGTATTTTTAAGTAATCTCTACACTCAATGCGGGGCTCGAACTCACAACCCGGAGATCAAGAGTCGCATGCTCCACTGACTGAGCCAGCCAAGCACCCCAAAACAACAAATTTAATACAAACAGCAAAGACCTTCCAAAAAGTAATAGAGAAATACGGAAAACTCAAGGCAAAACTCACCGGTGACCAGGCACCAGTGTTAACAGCAGTACAGCAGAAACTAAGTAAAATGCACTAGGAATGAAAGGATTCACCAGGAGGAAAAATGATCTCAGGTTCCGGCAATGAAGCAGAAGGAAAAAGGATTTCACAGGATAATTTGCCTGGGTGCAGGCAAAATAGAGAATTAGAGGTCAGATCAGACTACAGAAGGGCAGGTGTCCACTTGGAAATAACTGTCAGACTACAGAAAGCTTAGCTCGTCAGTACATATGAATACGCTCTATGATGGCGAAGACGTCATCTGGGAGAAAGGAGGACTCTGGTTTCGCATATGGGGAGTAGGACGTCAAAGGGCAGCTGTCCTGGTGGCTGGCAACGTACCTGCATTACAGTGCAGATTAGACGTTAGCAGAAGAGGCCAATTTGGGACTCTCCCAACCTGGGACTCTCTCAGAACAGGAGCTTAGGCCTTGACAATGAATGAAACTTTTAATATGAGAATCAAGCAGAAGATTTAAAAAAAACAACAGAACCTGCAAGTTGGGGAAGCAGAGGGTGAAGAAATAGATAGAGGTACCCTGAGAGACAAGGTACGTGTGGTTTCAGATGACCTCAGGGGACGTGAGTTGTCAGGGAGGGATATCAGCCCTTTCAAAAGGGGCAGGGATGTGCAGAAGATGAGAGCTGGGCCAAGTGCAAAGCCATCTGTTTGAGAGCAAGCAGGCGGAGAAGAGGAAGTGGGAACGCTGCAGAAAAAGAAAGGGAGGGGCGCCTGGGGGGCTCAGTCAATTAAGCATCTGACTCTTGATTTCGGCTCAGGTCATGATCTCATAGTTCATGAGTTCGAGCCCTGAATCGGGCCCCTCACTGACAGTGCAGAGCCTGCTTGATATTCTCTCTTTCCCTCTCCCTCTGTCCCTCCCCCACTCCTGGGTGACCTCTATAAATAAATACATATAAATAAATAAATAAGGAAGAAGGTGTGCAAAGCTGAGGCAGGAGAGAACCAGGTAAGTATATGGATCCAAGGTGGGACAGACTGTAATCACATCTAGAAATGAGAAAAAAAAAAAAAAAAA